GATTACAGCAAGCACAGTTTGAATTTTCAATGTCAAGTTCCACGCAGAATTTGAACACTTTGAGATTCCTCTATATTGGGCTCATGAATCGCATGCTGGGGCCGGTGACTGGTGACGCTAATGAGCTCTTCTTACGAGAGATCTGTGCGGAATCGATTGATACGCATTTTTAGAGTTGTTGGAAATTCATTCATTTTATGATGTCGTTGTCATGATAAGTGTAGCTGTAAATTTATCCAAACTCTATATAGTTGCTTTTATAATACTCCTGGGCTTTTTTCAGCTTCCACACTCCTTTTCACAGAGAATGCGGGAAAATATGCACATGCTCAACTACATGTGTTGGGGAAATACGAAAATTCTGGGGAATTTTTCTTGGTTTCTGAACACTTTTTTACCGAATTTGTATATATACTTCTAGTTTAGAAACGTATGGTTTCCTCAGCTGAGCTCCTCGTGAGGAGTGTCTTCACGTTCACGCTGCAATTCTAGGGTAGAAGTGTCTCAAAACCTACAGCAATCTCCCAAAATCTTCTCTTTGAATTTTCATATTGTCATCAACATATATTTGATTATATGCGTATTTCCCGAATCGATCGTAGCTCACTCTTCCTCTTCCATGCGCTCCCATATCGCTTTGATTTTCATCTGCTACACGAGTCAGATGCGTGGCAGTACTTCCGATAAGGTCAGTTCGCCCGGCTCGGTCTACCAAAATTCTGACCTTGTCAGAAAGAGAGCCAAGCCGTGCTCGATGAGCTGTTGGTCGAATTCGAGAAGTTAGGCGGTGAATTAGAAGCGGAAGAATCCGCATTAGATTCGGAGACCGATCGTCTCGTTGACGCTCCCGAGCAAAAGCCGCAGGTCAGCGTCGAGCCAGGAAGGCCCCACTAAGGGTGCCCGGTTGCGTCGTGAATTCTATTCTCCCTGTCGTCCTCAGCCCCTAAAGGGTTATCCGATCGAAGAGTTATCGGACAAATTGGAGGCATTAGGTGGAGAAGCTGAATCGGAAAAATCCAGATTAGATTCGGAGACCGTTAACCCGCAGAGCTCGACCGTTGTCCTCGCTCCAAACCCGAACAGCCCCGCCGAAGGTGCGCTCCTTGAGTGTTATTCAACTTGCGAAGTTTCACCCGTGTCATATGAAAAACACTAGTGAAAGATATACTTCATATTTCACTTTGCGAAAAACGCGTGTGAGCAGTGAATAACGCCTAAAACACGTTATATGCTGCGAGGGTCTCACGTGCAATGGGGTGAGCGAGTGCATATCGCGAATATCGTGCTTTTCACATGGCGTATTACGCCACTTAACGTGAATTATACTCTCCTTGTTCTCCTCAGCCTCCAAGGAATTATCCGCAAGATGCCGCTCTACTTAAAATGTACAAAACTTGGGGACTAAACAAGGTACCTTCGAGGAGCTGTATATTCTCTCCGGGTATTGTTTCAGGAGGGCGGTCGAATAGAATCTTCTGCGAGTATCGTCAATTTCGCGAGGGCCTCCGAGCGAGAACTTCCCGTGATCATGGAAATGACATGCCCGCCTCGTCTGAGCGGACCTGCAGTCAATTATGATCCCGAGGACCCGCCTAAAGAGCGGGTCTTTTACCTTTTCCCACGCGGTCTGCCGTAAGCCAGGTTGTTCTTTCGACGGAAAAATCATTGCCTTTCTTCAGACCGTTTGATCTTGGCGGCATCGAACTCTTGAAACGTATTCACAGTGAGAGCCTCCGAACGGGCAGGGAATCGCAAAAGGAGGCTGCGGATGAGCTGTGTCAGGCGATAGGTCAAAAAATTCGGCATTTCATCACTAACGGGGAGCCCATCCCTTTAGTAAGAAAAAAGTCATCATTCTGATCTCTACTGCCAAGCAGCGTTTCTCAATCAGAACGAACCCTTTTTCGAGCTTCACAATGATTACCCGATTGCTTTGGTTACTCCACTACATTATACTGTAAGAAGTTGCCACGTATTGAACTGTGATAAGCTCTGTCGTCGCTAGTTGGTGTCTGAAGCCCTCCCCACGGAGTTACTCAAGATCAGGACCGCCGACAACGTCCTTAATATCACCGCTTTGAAAGTAGGCGCTTCTGCTCTTTTACGCGGCTGAGGCGTTCGCGCCTTGACTTTAGTTCCACATTGCGAATGTTGGAGACAAAAAATATTTCCGAGTGAAGTCCGGTGGGGACACACTGGATGAGCCTCTACTGTATCTCGACTTCTCCGTGAATCATGACAGAGAAAATGATTTGCAGCTCGAAAAAATGAATTGCCCCGAGAAGACTGCGCGGTGGAGATTTTCCTCGAAACGTGGATGGAAATTATCCATGAAACATGGCAGTCCGATCCAGCGGCAGTTTACCAGCCCAATAAAGTAGGATATACTGCCGAGCCTAAGCGTGATCGCCCGCAGGTACTTTCCCTCAACCTGGCCTCAGTTTCCTTCTACCATTGAACGCAGCCGAGTGTGTATGAGCCTGCCGAAAAACTTCGTTGTTGATGATGTTAAAAGATATGTCAAGTGGCTTATTTTTGGTATCGCCAACGAAGTCAATGCTCTCCTGGGTGACGGTGGGAACTCTCTCTCCGAAGAAAACAAAAAGTACCTCACGGATTTCCGCTCCCCGGGAGAGTTCCTCATTCGCCGACTTTGCTACGCTTTTGCGTCTCTCACGCCGCCAGTAGCCGAGGCAAGGAACACGTCTTTGCAAGGAGGTGGTTTGCTCAGAAGAACTTTGAAAAGGGTGAAGCGGAGCTAGCGATATCTGTGCCGGAAAATACGCCCATGATTGGTGGCGATCTGAAAATTCTAAAGAAATCTTCATCGGTTACTGTGACACTTCTACTCGGATTCGCATACAAACTTCTATGCTTGCTGAGGAAACTCCTGACCTCAGCACAGGAAAGCGAACATTTTTGCAAGCATGTATATCAACAGACCCTTACCTGTTGTGCCCGTTGTAATTTGTTTCACTACTTGAGTTGTAATACACATTCTTTGGAGGTTCATGCAGTTCATTCTTCGCAAACATGATATCTAATATATTGTCGATGATAGCAATATATTGCTATCGATCGAGTTTGGCAATCACCACGAGTCAAGCGGATGTAGGCTGAGCTCGATCAGCTCCTCAATCATCTGAGCATAACCATCAGTGCCGTGATATCACTTCTTTAGTTGTTGGCTTTTGTCGCACTTGTGTTCGCGGCAGTGTGTGAAAATATGCATATGATCAACTACATGTGTTGATCATCAACAGTTGATGACAACATGAAAATTATGATGAAATTTCAGCAAAACCTCGTTGGTTTCCGTACACTTCTTGAGGAGACTCCTGAGCTCAGCGGAGGAAAGCATCTTGGTGTTTTCCCTCAGGAGCCCATTCAGAACGAGTCCCGTCATGAGCAGACACCATCCCTGTACAACTCATTGAAGGTCGGCGAGGTACGCCGGGCTCTCTTTCATCTCAACCGCGCCATTTTCATTTCAGGTTAAAAAAAGCATTGGATCTGGTGAGACCACCGTAACTTTCGATCGACACTTTCATGAAGAACAGCCCCGAATATTGGAAATGAGTTGTCCCCCTAGGGTCAATGATAAACCCGGATTTCACCGGGCTTATTATTTCTTCCCCGGCGGACGAACGTGAGTTGATGACTCTTGCCGCTTGCTGTGGTGAATCTTTTTCCTCAGAATTTCCGAAATTTCTCAAGGAAACTCGAGTGAGGCAATTGTCGAGAATGCGGC